CAAATGAACAACCTATGACTACGTGATGGCTCTCGGTGAACAGGGTCGCTGAACGTCTGCATGCGGAGCGAGCAGCGATCGGAAAACAGCAGCGCAACTCTTTTACCTGCAGGTAGCATATCTCGTAACCCTAACTTAAAGCGTCCAGAATCCCATTCACCCAATTTCTCGCGCAGAACAGTAAATAAGCGTTTCATTCATCCTATACAGACAGAAGGCTATCGTGCTTCGACAAAATTTGTAGTGAAACATGCAGATACGAGGCCATTTTTTTTTCTTTCATTTCCTTTTTGGAGGCATTTCTTGTTGTGCCAGGAGTTATATTTGTATGTACTTGGCCGTTTCCTGATAGATAAAATGGTTTATTTATTTATTTATTTATTTATTTATTACAAGTACCTACATCGCCCATTGGGCATTGTTGTAGGGGGGTTACAGTAGAAAGTAGAATACAAAACAGCAAAATTAAAGGCAAATAATTCGTGCCTTACAGTATACAGGAGAAATCAACACTTGTAGTACAGCATTAGAACAAAAGTACAAAACACAGGATTATACAACGAAAGCAGTACTTATACTTATAGAAATCAACAACCAAGAGAAGTACAAAGCCAACGTTAAATATATGGGTTATTTCAGCTGCTCAAAATGCTGTTTCAATGGCTAGTAGGAAATTAGAATCAGAGAATATCGGTATTTTTAGCGCATTGCAGTCACTAATAGAATTTGGAAAGAAAGAGTATTTAAGGACATTCAATCGACAGGTATATTCTCTAATTTTATATAAGTGATCTTTCCGTTCGGACATATAACCAGGCGTCTTTAAATACCGCTCTTTATTTAGCCCAGTCTTACCGTGATATATATTATAGAGAAATTTAAGTATTTGAACTTTCCGTCGTCCCCAAAGGGGTTCCCATCCCAAGGCCTGAAGAATTCCAGAAGACCTTATTCTTAAATGGTAGTTTCCTGTAACAAACCTAGGAGCCCTTTTTTGCACTCTCTCCAACTTTTCTTTTAGTACATTCGTGAAAGGGTCCCAAGAAACACAAGCATACTCTAAAATTGGGTGCACATTTGTAATATACAGGGTTTTCTTGAGTGTTTGCGGCGCGTCGCAAACACTCAAGGAAACCCTGTATATTACAAATGTGCGCATGGTGGCCGCTGGGCATTGATAGCTGCTGCTGCTGCTGCTGCTGATGATGATGATGACCTCTTATGGATGGCGCTCACCCACAGAGGGGGATGGGCCAAGAACCGGGCGGCAGGATACTTAAATGAAATTAAAATTAAAATGAAGCCAATCTGAAAAAGTAGTTCAAAATAATACTACCAAAAAAAAACAAAAATATTTGCTCAGCAAGCGGTCAAACCATCTCTTGTTTTTCGTAGACATAACTACGAATTATAAACTAAAAATCTTAAAACGTTGGGGTTCGCTAGCACGGTAATCTTTTAGTTGCATTGATGTAATCAAACACATTGGAGCATACATCCCTGTGGCAGTATCCAAATGAAGTTTTGCCAAGTGATAAAATTACTGGTAGATTTACTTGTATTCCTAGCTTTTGTAATGGGGCTACTAAAAATCTTTTTCTCTGATTAGAACAACAATGGCAGAATAAAAAGAAATTTTCAATTGTTTCAATTTTGCTACACCAAATGCATAGCGGTGACGCTTTGAGTCGAGCTTTGTTAAGGTAATAATTTAGTTGTGGAACTGCACAGCGCAATCTGGTATAAGTGACCTCTAACTGGCGAGATACACACCACTGTTTATTCCAGCAATACCTCGAATGCTCGAAATCTTTGAATTTATCTAAATTACATTTCCCCACTGCAGGCAAGCGTTTCGGAACCTTAGCGCTGTCACGTGAGCCGTATCTGGCAAAACTGGGATGGTGGGCCCACCCAGGGATACTGTTGCTAAAAAGTCCACCATTTCCTTCAAATATAATCCGCGGTGGCCCGGTACCCATAGCAAATGCAGTTTTTTTTACGTTTTTCGGTACTAAATGCTGAAGCGTATTCATCAGCTCTACCTTTACTGCCGCAGAAAGTGCATTACAAACTGATAACGAATCTGTAATGATAACTGCTAGTGATTTGCTTGAGGGAAAATTAACAGGGCAGAGCAAGGTGAAATTTGAGAAGAAAGAATGTCAAGGACAAGGGGACCACATACCCTGTCACACCACGAAAGTGAAGTTCTTGTTCTTGTGGTTCACAATGTTGTTCTTGCTGCTAACACATTTTTGTCCAAGTTTTATTCTGTGGTGATAAATTCTGGCAGTTGGTATTTTTGGAGCTGTTCTTGCAGTCTCCTGCCCATTATCTTTACTGTGAAGTAAAATCATGATTTTGATTTAAACTTTTCTTTCGAAATGTGTGATTTGTAAAATTAAAAAAAATCTTTCCATTACTCCACCTAGAAAATCAAACATGTTGGTCGTATGCAGGCGACTGCCGCTTGTCATTCTGTTGTCTAATACACTCGCCGTGGTGTTCCAGCGGTTATGACGTTCAACTGCTGACGCGCATATCATGCAATAGAACCCCGTTCATGGCGGCTGCATTTTTGATGGAAACGAAAATCTATTTGTTTGCTGTACTTGATCACCAGAGGTTTCGCTGCTCGGAAGCATCACGGCAGAAAGACATTGTCTCGGTCTTTTGATCCCGCAAGATTGGCCGCTTCTTTAGACCTCGCGGTGTCACAAGCGATTGAGGATGGCCATCAGAGTCTCTACACTTCAGGCGCCTTCCGCTGATTGATTTGTGTGGTTTAACGTCTCAAAACCACCATATGATTATAAAAGACGCCCTAGTGGAGGGCTCCAGAATTTATCACCACCTGTGGTTCTTTAACGCGTACTCACATGTGAGCACACGGGCCTACAACATTTCCGCCTCCATCGGAAATGAAGCTGCCACAGAAGGGACTCGTTTTGGCGACCCGCGGGTCAGCAGCCGAGTACCTTAGCCACTAGACCACCACGGCAGGGTTTCAAGCTCCTTTCGCTTTAAAATGGGTTTGAGCGTCCACGAAGCACCAGTTCTCTGATTACCAGGGCAAGCTCAAAAAGGGATAGGCGCGCCGCAGCAGAGGTACGGCGGGGCAATTCACTGTAAAAAGCCGACGCGGAAGCCGGTGCTTTGGACACTCCCTTATGCAAGGTACTCGACCCAGAGTGCTGTTTCCTGGTTGAGTCGGCGTCGTGGCTTCTATGGTTACTCAGCTTTCGTCAAGCTCCAAAGGAGCCCAAATATTGCACCATTACGTGATCATTGAAATGAAGGTCTGGAATGCAAATTTTAAAAATGTAGGTATCGTCCGGAAATGTGTAATTCTTGATATAGATTCTACGTTTTTTGTCCGAAATTGGTTTTTAGTTCGGCAACTCAAAATACTGCAATGAAGCACAAACAGGAATTGTGCTGGTTTCGAAGTGTATTTTTTGTCATCGTTCGAACTTTCGTATGCTTCATTTCAGTCCTCCTGCGAAAACGTTGGCACGTGCTCTATTCATTAAGGCACTCGCTTTCGGGTCTGTAGTCTCCGGTTTCAAACTTTATACCTCCAGAGCAACGCTTGCATTGACTCAAGCGATGCTTGTATTGACTGACATGTGTAGGGCCTCATAGTGGTGGTCTAGTGACTAAGATACTCGGCTGCTGACCCGCATTTCGCGGGATCCAATTGCGACTTTGGCAGCTGCATTTTTGATGGAGCCGAAAATGTTGTTGATGATGTGCTCCAATTTGGGTGCACCTTAATGTAACCCCGGTAGTCAAAATTTCCGAAGCGCTCCACTGCAGCGTCGCTCATAATTATATGGTGGTTTTGAGACTTTAAACCGCATATATCTATCAAATCAACTGGTGTAGCCTGTGAAAACGGGGTTGAAAATGAAACTCTATTCAACCACAATACCCTTTCACACCTACACCTGACACACAGCGAAGAATTGTCAACTAGCTAACTATTATCAAGGCCTTCCGTTGGAACCCGGATGGCCTAGGCCTGAAAGTGAGTGCTTGAACACTAGGCCACATGTTACACACATGCTATAATAAATATGTAAATTCCTGCAAAATAGGAATAGGTTCGCTGAGAATTAGCATTAACTAGAAATAACCAACCAACGGTCATTCCTTGAACGCACTTTACTGTCACCAAAGTCAGACCTCTAGACATACAGCATCTAAACCTTTTAATTCAATAATAGCAGTTCTGGAATAGACGCCGATTGCGTGGTTGGCGCGACATGAGCAGCGCACCAACGATGTGCGTAGCTAAGACACTGGCTTCAAAGGGGTGCTAGTGTCCTGCCAACAGGGTGGCGAGACGCTCAGTGATGGACTGGCGTGCACGCGCGTGTTCTACCCCTGCCTAGACGTAGGATATTGGGTGGGGAGGTCACTCATGACTACCGCTTTCTTTTTTTTGGGAGGGGGACGGGGATGAAGCTCCCTAAGGCGTCACCCGATTGTCCTCTGCAGTAACCACCTCTCTCGGGTATGTGCTACAGGAGAATTCAGTTCTTTGAATGTCCGCTAAACGGTGTTACTTGTATATATAACCAATTTATGATGAAAAGATACGAGATGGTCTTATTTGGAGCGTTCCCTAGACGGACGGACATACAGACAGACAGACAGACAGACAGACAGACAGACAGACGGACAGACGCACGGACAGACAAATGGAGCCACAGTTGGTCGGATAGACGCACGGATCCACGAATAAACGAATGGACGCTTCGCCTCACTGATCATCATTCGATCAGTTCTTGCCTCCATGAATATGCTGTGAATTTTTTAGTATTACTGTGAAAAATTCTTTGAGTGTTTGTATGGGATGCTGCGATCCTTTGAGGCAGATGGCCTAAACCTCTACACGTTAATTACGAATATACGAGGGTTTCACCAATTACGAGTAGTAGGACGTCTCACGTGATCTAAGTATTGCCGATTTCTCTTTTTTATTGCTGTCCAGGTGAACCCATTGACAAAAACAAACCACTTGAATATCCGGTAAGCAATGTTTTTATAGGTTTTTGGACTATTAGAAAACCACAATTGAGCTTCGAATCAATGGCAAAATTTTAGTAAATTCCGAGACGCACACAAAGCTTATATGGAAAGTCACAGTACCAACAGGTAGTGTATGCAGAAGTTCTACAGGGTGGCGTCATAAGCTGCCACGGTTTAAAAAATGAGAATCAAGTCAGAATGCGCTTTCTCCAATGTAGACAAGTGGAAGCTTTTCGGGCGGGAATGGGAAACTAAATTGTTCTTGAAAGTGAGCATCAGTTGGTCTTGCTACTGTAATGGTCAGAAATACGCCCGGCCACAGCCTTTTACTTGAAACAATTACGGGACCAATTAGAGTGATTTAAAGTATGGGGGACACCTGGCGCCCCCTGGTGATTCGTCAGGTGGCCACCCCCCTCATTTGTCCATTGCGTGCGCAGGCCGTGGAGAGCAGTAAACTTGTCGCCAATAGGCGTAGATTTCCCGCGTACGCAGCTCCATGAATATGGCGCCATCGAAATGCCACTTCAAGCCCAGAGCCTTCGCTTACAATATAACGAGTCCCGCAAGCCAACACGGGTCACTGGCTGGAATACAAAAGTGCAAGACATGCAACACATTGCAAAAACAAGAAGACCGTAGAGGAGACGCAGTCGCCGCCGGCCAGCATCACGCCGACGGTATGCTGCGGTGTCAAAGCACAAAGCGTATGGGACCGGCACCAAGCGCCAGCCATGAGGAATGTACTACGTATACGTCGAAGTCTTCAACTCAAAAGCCATTTAAAAGGTGCCTCAAGAGAATAAAGGAACGTTTCAACAAGTGTTGACTGTCGTTTTCTGCTTATACCTTTCAAAAGGAGTCACAAAGATAACCGTAGAGAGTCACTGCGCCATTACCCTCTTAACAATTTTAGGGTGTATGATAGGCGCATAATCTAGGACGTCGCCTACATTTCAATGCCACCACTGCTGTGTTTCACTTCGAGATAAATTATCACCTATAAAAAATAATCATCTCATATGAAGCGTTTTGGTTCCTGAGCGTACTGTACTTGTGATATCTCCGCACCACAGACTGCTCTGCTCAAGTTGATGTTGCCGGTCCAGGTGCGACGAGAATCTAGATTCCAGGTGAGCATGGTAACTTGATCAGGCAGCCATGCCAAAAAGGAGAAAGGAGATGGTTGCAGAGCTTCATGCTGCAAGCATGTGCTTGAAATCTATGTGTTCTTCAAGCGCCCTGTTGAACGCAGAAGTACTACAGATTGTTGTACTTGCTTTGTTTATGCGTACTGAGGCATTGATAGTATGATCACGTTTTGCAGTTGCTTCTTCGTTGGGCCGCAAGTAACAAGGCGTTAGCCTTAGCAGCTATTGCCAACTAACGGCTGATATCACTGAGAAGAAAAGATTTGGTTCATCCTTCTGATGCAGAAATTGATATATTACACGAAAGTAAGACGTCTCTTCGCTGAAACAGTTCAATGTTTCTTGCATGTTTATAAATTTTGTCTTTTGCTTTTAATGTCTTGAGCACGCCTAAATTTATTGCAGTAATGTGGACACCTGGTGAAACATATTCATCAGGACAACTCCCAAAGACTAACGATTCCATACTTTTTCAGGGACACTGCATAGTACGCACCAGAGCGCCGCTTAAATCAAATTCAACCACGGACGTTCGCAAGCCCTGCTAGCGAAAGCTAATTGGTTTTCACCGAATAGTTTTGAGCTCAATTTCCGCTGCAGTGAAGAGTGTGTGATTTGTGGGTTGACCGCCGTCCTGTGGAAGGGCTTGGTATGTGGCGCCGTGTTGACGGGCAGTGTCCTGCTGAAGGGTCACCTAGGCGAAGTACAACCATTTAGGTCTTTAATCGGTGTCCCTATGAGAGTCAGTTGGTCGCGATGCGCTTAACTTCACAAACGTGAGAGGCAGAGCTCCAGAAATATTTTCGAAGCTCACTGCAGAAACCACGCTACAATGCGTTTCAAGTACTGTCAATGCTACATATAAGGCATAGGTAGGGCGTTCGCTCCAATACTGGTATAGAGATGCTGTATTGCTGGGGAGCGATTCTCGTGGTGTCTACTTATTGGACATTTCAATTCTCGCTTTGATTTATTGGCTGAAACACGGCGAGCAGCGCGCGCCTGTTCCCGGCCTCTCTTTTGCAAACTCATTTTGACGCCCCGCAGCTTTCACAACTCTCGACAAAAATCAGAAAGACAGATCGCTTTTCGCAGAAATGAATGCTCCCTGTCCCTTTTTTACTGTGCTTGTAGATGCACATCACGGAGACTTTGCATGAGCTCTAATCGCTTTAACCCTTGAAATAGGTTTAACTAGGTCGCACACCTAGTTCTGTGAAGTTCTGTGCCTTGAAGTTCTGTGCGCATTTCATGCATCGATCTTTAGACAGTCCACACATTCACGCGCAAGATCAGCCTTGTCAAGTCTGTCCTGTCACTGCACATTTTGTCCGCTTTCTTCCTCGTTCTACTGCTAATGTGCTGGCGGGTTCGGTCCGTCAACGTGCTCAAGTGTGCCATGACGTTTTGTCTCGCCCTATCTACGTTTAACTGAACGCGCTCTGGCGAAGTGTACATACCAGTGGACACAGCAACCATCGCGTACCTAGACAACCACAGCGTAGGTGTTCCTTGTAGGTATCAGCGTCATATTGCAGTATTTTTCTGCCGGGCTTTTTGGCGACAGCACCACCCCGACAAACGCAGAAGAGAGGTACTGAGGAAATTATCGTGTGATATATAACTCGCGTTTGTAGGACTTCGCAAATGTGCCGACGGTGCAGGATGTTAGGGGTCCACTATTTATTGCCGCAGACCATGGCTTTGATTCTGAAAATTTCTTCTGGCTTCTTAGTTCAGGTGCGAAGCACTGGAGGGTGTAGGTAAATCTTTCGTACTAGAAGCTTGTTCTAGTAGTAGTCACTTTTCGTTTTTTTAACGATTTCTCACTAGATGGTGTTGTGTGCATATGTGCTTGGAAATATTATCGTTAGATGGCGTTAGTAGTTTTCAATTAGTTGACGACTAAAGAGGATTTATGGTGTTAATATACTAAAAAATGCACAACATATCCACCTAATGAGGGATGAGGCGTTGGGAGAAGCGTCCATTCGTACGATGCGTGCTCTTCTCTGATAGGAGAGGACGGACGAACAGACGCACGGACGGATGGACACTTTGCCTCACTGATTAACATTCACTCTGGATATGCAATGACTTTATTATTTCGTGCTTGAACCTTTAAAAGCATAAGGTTTCTGAGAGAAATATGTCAGTGAAGTCTTGGCGAACCCAACATAAAATATTTCTCTGTAACAAAATCACAAAATATCCCCGTAGTGAATGATGATGAGTGGGGCGAAGTGTCCGTCCGTCTGTCTCTGTGTGCGTCCGCGCAACCATCGATCCGTTTAAGAATGCATCTGTCCGTCCGTCAGTGCGTACGTCCAACCATCTGTCCATCCGTCTGTGTGTCCATGTCTTACCAACGAGGCGACGAGCACGAGCTGCCGCGGCGCTCCACGAACGCCGCTCTGCTTCGTCCATGCACCACCACTCAGCTTTTCAGCCGAGTGGTGGAGCATGGACGAGTCCGTAGTTTGAGCTATCGGTGAGTGCTCAGGAAATAAATGTTAAACTAAATATTTGTTAATAATTTATACCTGAGGCTTAAGAACCAGGTGGGCATGTGCATTTATTTCGTAGTTATTACCATGACCGACTATTGAACATACTACCTCGAATCCACCAGTGCGGCCATTACAACTCTACATGCTTATGAGCTGATTTCAGAAGAGGCATAAAACAGTTTTGAGTGGGAATGGCTATTTGTATTTCGAAAAATGAAAACCGAATTTCTTGTAGACACAGGCTCTTATCATCTTCTTCACACAAAGCAGCTTTCTCCTAGCTACGCTTCTCTCACCATGTACTTCATCTAGCTGTAGCAGAGCAGCAGTGCACCATTCACATTCAAGCATGACAAGGTAGTACTGCGAGAACACACAATAGTAATATGTCTGCGCACTGCTTTACTTTTTTTCTGCTCTGGTTGTTGTCACACTGTTAACCAAAATAAAAAGAATCTCTTTTGTTTTCAGTTACCTGCTTCACAAAATACTCTTTACCTTGTGGGTTACTCCAAAGAACTTGAGAAGGCAGAGTACCCCTGCGTAGCGTCTAGTTTCTCCAGATTTGGAGAAGGATTTATTCACCGGTTTCTCCTCTTGAAAAAAGCAAAGGTAAGTGACGCTAAAAAAATCTGCAAGGTAATACCCAATGCGAGCATCTGTTTCACGAGAAACACCCAAAGAGTACTTGTTCTTGTTCACCTATTGCCTGAGGCGCCTTCCCCAGAGGGAGATCGGCCAGGAAATAAGAAGATTTATAAACTAATGTGCAGTTATAGCATAATGAAGGTTATACAATACAAAGAGTACAGACAACCTAGCTAATTGTAGTGATTGATTGTGCATACAAATATTTAGGTAGAGAAGAAAAATTATTCTTAAATTAGAGCAATACTGTTATTTTCATACTAATATAATATTGTAGACACGCTAAAGTAAAAATGCAACATGATTAGTCAACTATTAGTTTCATTCATATATTTCATGACAGCCGCGCATACTTTCGCACTGAGGAACCCGGAAGTGGGGGCTTGAAAAGACAAAGAATGACAAGGACAGATAATTTCATACCTATACCACGTAAAGGTATTTCTAAAAGGGTTTTTAGCACTGTAGTATCCACCTACAGGTCAAAAAGAAATAATCTATTTTTTCCAGTTCCCTCGAAATGCTCGCAGTGGCGAAGGTGTCTGAGCAGACCTATAACAGACAGACAGGCAATTAACTTTATGTGATCCTGAGGAGCTTTCGCGGGAACCCCTCTCGGGGACCTGCGGAAGCCGCGGGCCGCGTCAAAGTCGGTGCAGGGACACCGTGATTTTTTTATTCAGAATACTGTCACTCCCGTGATGGGATTATTACAGGAGTGGTGTCTCATTGTACATTGTAAAAACAAGCAATTTGTAGGCCTATGTACTCAGATTTGGGTGCACGTTAAAGAACCTCAGGTGGTCGAAATTTCCGGAGCCCTCTACTACGGCGTCTCTCATAATCATATGAGGGTTTTGGGACGTTATACCCCACATATCAATCAAAAACAAGACATACACAAACTAAAAATACATGTTGCAAGCACTAGAAATTTCAAGGAAATATCTCAAACATAGTGCAAAATTTGCCGTAGTGATAGGCGTAGGGTCTTTATGAATATAAACATCGCATGAATTGCTGGGGCAAGCAAAAAACAAATACAAAACGTAATTGTATAGACAGAATTAAAACTTGCTACATCATCAATTAAGGAAATCACGGGTGAATAAAAGTCAGCACACTTTTGCTCGCTCGGTTAACAAATTTAACGACTGTCAGCTGTGTCAACACGGTGGGGTGCAGGGCATTCCAAGCGCATAAGGCTCGCAGAAAAAAAGGGTGGCCAAAAATATTGTTTTTGAAGGGATACTCATATAGTGTGTGACAATGCTCATTTCGTGTTTGGCGCTTACTGTTAACCTTGACATAATTAGCCGGATTTATTTTCAAAGAGTTGTGTAGCACCAGATACAAAAATCTCAGACTATGAAGCTTGGCGCGGCTCGCAAGGGTGGGCAGATCCGCTTTTATCAAAAGAGCAGTAGGTGAGTCGGTACACCTACAACGGTTATAGATAGAACTGACTGCTTTGCGTTGTATTCTTTCAAGTGTGGCTACATGTTTGTTTGTAAAGGGGAACCAGGCCACGCTCGCATATTCGAGGATTGGGCGGATAAGCATGGTATATGCTAAATGTTTTGTTTGGGGTGTCGAATGACGAAGGGTTCGCTTAAGAAAAAATAACTTGCCGAGTGCCTTCTTTGCAATACGTTAGACATGCGCAGTACGATTTAGGTCGGACAATATCAAGATGCCCAGATATTTGCAGGCAGCGATGTTGCGAAGTGGCACACTTCCCAGCGAATACGAAAAATTAGCCGTCGTTTTTTTTCTTTATGATTGACATAGCGACAATTTTCTGATTATTTATTTCCATTTGCCATCCTCGACACCAGGTTTCGACTTTTTTTAGCGAATCATCTAGTTTTAAATGATCCTGGTAGCTGTGTATTCGCTGGTACAGGATACAATCATCTGCGAACAATCTGATTTTTACATCGGTTACGTCAGCAACGTCAATAATAAAAAAATAATAAAAAGAAACAACATGGGGCCTAAACCAGAAGCCTGGGGCACTCCCGATAATACTGGAACCGTGTCACACACATGTTCACCATATTGAACAAATTGGTAGTGGTCGGTCAAATAGTTTTCGATCCACTTGGTCATAGGTCCGTTTCCCAGTATACTGGTTAGCTTTTGGATCAGTTTGGAATGGGAACGCGCTCAAAAGCTTTTGACAAGTGTAAAAAGACTACGTCAATCTGCGAATGATCGTTAATGTCATTGGCAAGGTCATGCAAGGTCTCAACCAGCTTTGTGACAGTAGATAGTCCGCGACGAAAACCGTGTTGATTGGAATGGAGAATAGCATTTTCTTCCACGTATTCGGTAAAAGACTTTAGAATAATATGCTCAAGCATTTTGCAGAAAGTACACGTAATAGAAATTGGTCTGTATTTAGATGGACAAGACGAGTCGCCACTTTTGTGAATGGGAAGAATTTTCGCAATTTTCCATTCCGATAGAACCTGGCAATCCTTAAGCGATTTGAAAAATATAAGAAAAAGGTATTTACACACAGACTCAGCGTAACGATTTAAAAACGCATTGGGAATGCCGTCGGATCCACTACCTTTTTCCCATCAATGTTCAATAAAAGTGATAGCAAACCCGGCTCAGACAATTGAGGCAAGCTTAAAGCACTTAAATTTTTACCCCGAAACTGAAGCGGCGTATCTTTACCATTGTCAGCGGCGAAGACAGACTGGAAGTAAGTGTTAAATCAGTTAGCTTTCATTAATTCCTGCTCCGCTGAAACGACGGTAGGGAGGTTGTTTTTTGAACCAAGATATTGCCAGAACTTCTGGGGCGACTTTCTTATAAACTTACTTAGTGTTGTGCTGCAGAAGTCCTTTTTGGCACTACGGATTTTCACCCTCAATGACCGAGACAAGCAAGCTATTTTTTCTTGGAAACGTCGACTGGGCTTGGTTTGTTAGATTTTCTTAGTCTTTTTATTTTACGTTTAGTATGAATGATGTCACGAGTGATCGAAGGGTTGTCTTTTTTTTTTAGTTTTGCAACCTGTGGAACAAATTTGGTCATACAATGGGTAATATTAGCTTTAAATTTAGCCCAAATTACGTCAGTCACCAAGGACTCATCAGCACATGTATCCCGAAAGTCGTCATATTCATGCTCAAAACACGTCATAACTGCCACGTCATCGGCTTTGTGAAACGCCGGGGCAGACTTAACCAGCCCCCGCATGCAAGCGGGGCATTGTAGAGGCAGGCTGCATGAAACCATTTCTGATATGATAACCTCTCCAGGGATTCTGTTAAGATATCCGTGGATGGGAAATGATCACTGATAAAAATAAGATCTAGTAAAGAACTAGATTCCCGTTGTTCACGGTTTGGCGTGGCAACAAGTTGAGTGAGAATAAATGACAAAAGGTAATCGCTTAAAGGGTGATTCCTAGCAGTTCCTATACTCACACGTTCCAAATTTACATGGGGCAGACTGAAGTCACCGGCCATGATAACAGCGCCACCGGTCACATGGTTGTGCATGTAGTCATATAAAGATTCCAGATAAGCCAATTGCGCTTGCGGGGGTCTGTATACCGCAGCAATAGATATAGTGACACCAATTAGAGAAATCCTAAACCAGACCACTTTGACATCCGGAACATCTGGCATGACTGAAAAGCTGATGCCTTGTCGTAAAACAATGGCAACGCCCCCACTTCTGTGCTCTCTATCTTTGCAAACAATCACGTAGTTAGGCGGAACAACTTCGCGGTCCGAAATTTCTTTATGCAGCCATGTTTCTGAGACAGTGACGATATCTGGCTGATTGGCAATCAAAATGGCCTCAAACTGGTCGGCTTTGTTCACAAGACTTCGCGCATTAACGTTAAGTAACTTCAGTTGCGTTGGCTTCTGGTGACCTGATTCGTCGGAAGCAGACGTTTTTCGCTATTCAACAAAGCAACAAGATCACCACGATTGTTGTCCCAGCCATAGAGTTTCCCATTAATGCTCACTCTATCATGAACCAGCATCACCTTTTCACCTTTGTCTCGACTTTCTTTAGTTCTATCTCAGAATTTCTTCCTAAGGTCTCGCATGGTACGAGAGAAGTCGTCACTAATTGAGTAACCTGCACCGTTCAGCTTAGAGGCGTTTTTGAATATTTTAGTTTTCTCCTGGTTATTCGAGAATTTCGAAACAATAGGTATGATCAAATTAGCACCTCCTGTAGATTTTTTTTCTAGGCGGTGAATCTGTTCTATATCCCCGGTATTTACTTTTAGTATGCCCTCAAATATTTCCTTCAATACTACACTTTGCAATCTTTCTCGCGACTCGTTCGGCTGTTCCTTTAAGCCATAAATGTTGAGGTTAGACCTACGGCTCTTCTTTTCCAGTTAATTAAGTTTTTTTGTAACGGCTTGAAGATTGTCCTCTAGAATAGCTATTTTTTACGCACTTTGAAACATGTTTTTCAAAACCACTGATCTTTTCCAGTTTCTTGTCTATCGGCTTAGCCTTAGGTTGGTTTGTGTTTTTGAGTTTTTTATTTCTAAAATATTAGCAGCGATATCACTATGTTGCTTGGCGAGCACCTCCAAGTCAGGACCAGGGTTTTTTTAAACATCCCCTCCCAAAAGCAAAAAGAACCTCAAGGAAACAGTCGCACATTGAAACATTTCATACAGTGACCGTGGGCACGGCAGCATAACAAGGCAAAGGCAGCTACTTCTAAAACATTTCCCGTAACTCTTCCTCACCTGAATGAAGAAGAAAAATGGGTTGGACGACTGCATCTTGGCGTTGCTGCCGTGCCCACTGCCAGGAGGTCGCTGAAGATCTTTTATATTGTTGTCCCCCCGTGGTACTGGCCATGCGCCTAACCGCCCAATCGAGGACACAGTAGGGCCGCCAGGCGTGCAGAAATGGTCCGTGAACGTCATCGTCACTGATACTCCGTCAGGATCCGTTGCTGCGCGG